CCGAGACGGACTACCTTATCTGCCAATAAATCCGTCAGAAGGACATGGCAAGACCAGAGGTTTATGCTTGAAAAGACTCTGACCAAAGCCTCCACAGGCAGTTGTGTTCACCTCCCACCTCTCCTGCAGGTGATCACTTTGTAACTGGCAACTTTAACATTTACAACGATAAAACAAAACCATCCGAGAAGGCAAAAGACAGGGAGTATTTCAAAGTCATTCCAGCAGCAACTTTCACAGACATGTCTAAATCTTGTCATTAAAACCTCTGGACAGGCCTCTGTCCATCAGTTTCAAGAAAATCACGTTTCTTGCATGCTTCAAACCAATCACATGCCTCCTGAAGAATTCCAAGTTAAAAATTAATCTTTATGACCTCAATACTATGCACCTCATTGTATGGCCCTCACCTGAATTCCTTCTAATGTATTTTGTGTGCTTTTGGCATGGAAGGTGTTTATTAAATGATCATTCTGTTGTAAATGGGAAATACCCATCATAATGCAGCTCTACTATTATGATACTTCCATGAATTCTTTGAGAACCATCACATTTATTTACTGACCTCAGCATTTACTCCAAGAATCTTAGATGAAGCTGCCCCAGCTCCAAGAATGAAAGCTCCAGGCAGCTCTATGTCCTTTGCAACTGTATTTAGATCATAAACCTGCAAAAGAGAAACAATCCTTTGATTTTGGTGTGGTGCTCTGCCCACTCTGTAACCTCTGGATGCATTTAATTCACAATACTCTTAGTATTTTGGACAATTGGGTTGAGCGGTTTCTGAACAACACAATGTTTGGTAGGAACAAATTTGGTACATGACCATTTGTTTTCTGAAAGATAGAGCCTGACGGTATGTCCCCCTGACATTTTATCCCAAAACTGAATTCTTGTTCTTACTGATAATTAAATTTGTGTAAATGAAAAAGATGGAAGGGAATATCATATAGAGACGGATGGGGTGAGGTGTCAGAAAGGAGGCATGATATTCCTGGAAGAGGACAGTAATGTGAATCCAGTGTTGGCCTGACAATGCAAATACAGCCAGTTTTTACACAGAAGCGTGGTTGTGACTTGAAATCACGAGCATGCAGCAAGCCATGCATAAACATGCAGACCAGCCCCTTGTTTAGTAGTTCCTTCCACGGCTCCTGTCACAGACCATGTGTTTCCAAAACGATCTTGTGTTTGAGGGCAGAAGATGAGCCATCCATGACTGTGCTATTCCTGCTACGATTTCCTGACACAGTCTACATTTAACATGTCAGAATCAACCCCACAAAACACTGAAAAGTAAATCTCTTCCACAAGTGGCACCCACAGTATCTGTCAGCCCTTAGTTTTGTTTAGATTTCAATGAGATATTGCTTTTCTTTTGACGAATGTATTAAACCCCACAGTTACAGAAAAAACTTACTTTTTCTTTCTGTACAACAGGTATGAGGTAAGGAACACCTCCCACATCTGCTATTCTAGGCTTCCCACAGATTCCTGGAAGAATACAGCCAGTTAGCTTGGTGAAATGTTTACTTCCTAAAAATCTTAAATGAGCATGCAGTCTAACCCACCAAAGAGCTGGTTCCTCAAGGTTCGAAACCCCTTTGAGAACACTATTGCCCTAGCATGCTTAGATGACGTGCTGTACTATTAAGAAGCCCAAGGACAGTAAGCCCTAAAATAATTCACAGTAGGATTTAATGTCAGGCAACCTGTTGTAAATTAACATTCTCGAAGCACAGAAAAATACTACAGTGGGCAACAACTACCACCTGCCAGTTCTCCAGTAAGATGCCCTCACTGGTTACCCCCCTGGGACTCCACTTGAAGAGTTTCAGCAAAGCCGGATGCCCAAGACTCGGGACAATTCATCCCACTTATTTGGACATGTGTTTTAAGAAGGGATGAATGACCTGGAGGTGCTTCCTTCAGTACATGGATGAGAGAGGGAACTCAGACGAGTAGCACAGATGACGTCTTTCTTCCACACAGCTAACATCAGAGAAGCTGGACCCCCACCCAGAATAAGACAGTTTCACCTCACTGACAGACATGAGTGGCAGGAATTTAAAAGTGAACGGAAGCACAACTCAGGTTCATATAGCAATTGGCATGCATCTAAAAAAAGTTATCCAGCTGGAACAGAGCAATGTCATTTCAAACCTTTTCAGTACACTAAATAAACTTATGGATATTGCAATCCTAGGTTAAGAAACGAAAAACCACAACAAGCCCTTAGCAATGACTTGTCCTCGTTCATACATCAACTAAAAGGCAAATCCAGAAATTAAATGTAGCTTTCCTCTCACGCACACGCGTTACCCGAAAAACAATTTAAGCTCTCCCACCATCTTCAGAAGATCAAAACCAAGTAGGATCAGGTAGAAGGAACTGGAGAAGTCTTAGTGGGAGACAGGAATGGCAGGGTTACCTTTAGCAGGAAAGTTGAAGGGTTCCTGAGTCAGATCAGGACAGTCTATAACAGAGACTTGAGCATCAGCAAAGTTTTCTTTAAGCCCTTTCTGCAAAACTGTAATAAAGAGTAATGACAAAGTTACCAACAGTGAAAAATTACCAAGAGTTTGACAAGTTACCAGCAACAGTAAATGTATCTGTTTAGGCTTTATTTCAGCAAGATACCTTAAAGGACTGAGGGTAAGCATAAATAACTCAGTCAATCTGAATGTTACTGCCTGTAGACGCTTGTCTCCTGCGTCAGAACTCCAGAGGAGAGCAAAAGTTTGTTCAGAGAATTGCTGGCTACCACATTAATTCATTTTAAGAATTTTTAAAACAACCCTTTAAAATGAAATACAATAACCGCCGGCTCCTGGTAGCACTAGGAGCAGCACAGTGTGAACCAACACGGGTAAACTTCAGCCACCTTCAGCAGTTTTGCTTCACAGGAGCAGACCATAATGATCACAGTCAAGTATCACGCGAGAGCAAAGGAGAAAGTAAGTTTTAACTGGAGTGACAATCAGTGCTTTAAACTGTTTACAGTAGCTTGATTGTGATCTCAAACTGTCTTTGCTGTCTGGAAGCTTCTGCTGTCGCCGAATGTGACACGTGCCTGTCAGGTTTACGCTCACAAGGAGATTTTCTGCCAAGTGCCACTGTCAGTACAAAGCAGATAATGAACGGTGCTGGTGATAACGAACAGCCCCAAATCAAAACTTCTGATTTTGCTTCAAAGCAATGTTTTTAGGCTCAAAACCTGCAGTGTTACTCAAAGGTCAGACAGTGTTCTGGCTTAGACAAGCTCGCTGTTTGGAAACAACTTCCAAACCTTAACCAAGTGTGGGATTGCCTTCACATCACATAGACTGCTCCAAACACCACGGAAAAGGTCCAAGTTCTCTCACGCCTGGGGGTCTGCTTTCACAGATGTCTCAAACTAAAGAACAGAAAACCCAGTCTGTCATCTCAAATCAGGCAGCTCCTTATCTACTCAGAAGACTTTCCTGCGCCTTTGTTTCCTCCAGTCAGGGTTTCAGCTGTACCCCACTTCCTGGGAACACATTTACCTCGCTGTTGACCACAAGGGTCCGTAGAAGGTACTTGGCAGGTTTCTAAATGCATCCCAGCACCTTCCAGTAAGCAGAAAGGAGAAGAAAAGGCACTCCTCCAATCATACTCAAGAGCAGAGCAGGGACGAAACTCACAGCTAGTTGGAGACCCTCAGGACAGATAAAGGGAAAATTCTGCTTCATGATCCATTTTTTCTGCCACTGTTTTAAGCTGTTCTACTGCAAGTACACACCGTTCCCTGCTGAGCCCACAGGTCTGCAGTGGCCCTGGCCTACTGGCCCAGGTACTTGGAGAGAAAAGCACTGCGGATCAGCCAGGGTGCTGCTGGGACCACACTGCTCAAAGCATGGAAATCTGGAACTGAGACAGGTTTGGGAGAGTGGCAGACTGAACCCAAGGGCCACTCTGACAGAAAAAAAGCCCCCAACTTTAGTAGATTTAGGTGCAGGAGACAGACTGCCAGAAGGAATATGCCTTCTACTAGGGCAAGGAAAGACACTCATGAGCAGGGAGGTTGGAGCAGATCATCTCTAGAGGTCCCTCCCAACCTCAACCATCCTGTGAGCACATTTTGTGAAGGCTTTGGAAAGAAACAAACGTTTCCTGCACTCTGGTCTTAAGGCAATCACCAAAACAGGAGCCAACTAGGTTCAAGGCAGAGGACCCGCCATGCTATACTGCATCATGGCAGCTGTGATCTGAGTAGACCTGAAAAAGAAATAAACACCAGAGGGTAGAGGAGGACAGATGATCCTGTACGTGTAAGTAAGTTCAGGCTAAAATTTTGCAACCCCTAAACAAATCTGAAAGTTCAGCAGACAGTTTTAAAGGATTTGAGAGCCTGTTGGTGGTCTTAAATATCATCTGGGGTTCAGGGGACCAGTCACTGTTTGTTGTAAAGAAATAACGGCATATACAAAAATAGTGCTTTTCTTTACACCTCAGTGTGCTACGAGCAGGAACATTCTGCGTGTACCAGCTGTGGAAAGGTTTTGATGAGAGCTTTAAGATAAGTGTGAAGAGTACATTATAAGTTTGTAAAAAGTTACACTCCGCATGACTTACCCCCAGCAAGCTCCTCCAGACTTGGAACATGAAAAGCAAACCTTTCGACTTTGGCCATTTCCTAATTGGTGCCGATTTCTTCGGGTAAGAAATTACAATCCACCACGCTGCAGGAGTGACGGATCTGTCACTAGGATAATAGATTAACAATTAAAACAAGCTGTTTTCCATGTTACTTATTCTTCAATTTCACTCAAGAATACATAGACAACAGTGGATTTGTAATTCTGCCATCAGAGCAAAGACTAACAGCTTCAACATTAATTTTTTTACGTGCTTTGGAAGATGTGTCTGTCAGGTCTAAAGCTGCCCCAAAGCACGATACATGCAAGTCCTCAACCTTAGAACTGGGTGTAAGTCAAACACATCCCACGCTGAATCCAGTTCAAGGGACAGGTTAGGAGATTTAGCTGTCCTTTGTTAACCTGGAGTCATAACTTATTTTTTGAAAGAAAACTGGGCTTTTCTGAGCACACCAGCTGCCTCCTCAGGTCTTCCCTGCCCTAACGTTTACTTTTTCAGCATTGGCTACAGTGGACTTTGAACTCAGATGTGACACGGTCTCCAATTGATTCTGGGCATGTCTTTCTCCTTCCAGAGGGGAACAGGCTAGCAGCAAAACAGAAAACAGCAGGAAGTTCTGCAGTATCAGAAGAGAGTTTTGTTTGAACGTAAGTTTAAGAACCCCTTTACAAATGGATTTCATTCAGCCTTGCAACAGCCAAGTCAGCTACTAGAGCAAACCACTAGCTCAGGGCAGGAACTGATTATACACTACCTCTGAATCAGCCACAGCAATCATTAACTCCTTGGGGACATGCCTGCTGCACACAGCAGAAACTGGGTCCCACTTATCCAGATCTCGGGCCTTGGAGGAAAAAACCAAAAACCTAATTACATTCCCAGACCTGACAGAGCTTTGTTAGGAATGTCTATGATGTGAGCTAGCTGCTTATGTAGACTTTTAACTTCTATTTTTAAAATATCCTAGTGTTTATGATTGTTGAAAATTGTAACTGTCTTCACACCACAGGCCTCTTGAGTCTGCACAGAGGAAAAAAAAAAACAGTGGAAAAAAAGAAATAAAGAGAGTTGGGAGATCATTGCAGTCACCTAACTGAAGTTTTTGAGCTCAAAGGTCAGCCACCCCAAATTACTGCTGTAGCAAGCAGTAGAGAAAGAGAGAGTGAGCTACCCATGTATAGTAATTCTCATCTTAGTTGGTCTTATCCATCTCCAAGGGTGACTCTCTCCGTCCTCTGGCTGTGGAGGAGAAAGTAACAGGCAGGATTTGGTGCCTCTTCTAGAAGCCTACTGTCAGATGGAGTGAATCAGATTGTGAGTGTGGACCAAACACAAAAAGAGCAGCATTGTTTCAGATGCTCCCCGTCCTCTCAAGCACCCGTTGCCATGTCCAGAAGGAGGCTGTGCCACTACTCAGGACACCAGTTGAAAAAGTCCCGAAACAAACTGAGAAGACAGTCTAAAACTGCTGTTGTACAAAAGGCAGCGGCAAGACTGGGACACCGTTTCAATAAGTAGGCTCAGATATAACACCTAGACCGTTTAAAGGATAGTGGTCAGGTCACCACAATCAAGAAAGGGGGGAAAGCGTGGGAAAAGCTCGATGCACCATAACAAACCCGATGCGATTGCCTGACAGCAGTCCTTGCTGGGAAGGGCAGCTGTAAGGAGAGCATCCACAGAGGAGTTTGCGTGGTGGGGGAGAGGGAGAACCTGGAAGGAGACAGCGACAGGCGATTAAGATCCATTGTGATGGGGTGGAGTGACACTGAAGAGAAGACTTGCAAAGAACGAACACACCCAATAAAAGGAGAAGATTATTAGATCTGGGATGATGGGAGAATGAAGAGAACACGCACCTAAAAATTTGGGAAGTCTAGCTTTTTGAAGCAGGAAGAAAACGTCCGAGGGCACAGGCAAGAGCCAGGAAAATGCAGGTGAAATGGGAATCATGGTATTACCGGGTGGGGGTTGGAGGGTAAAAACTGGCGTGGAGGGTAGAAGCCAGAAAGGAGAAGTTGTAGGGAGGCAGAGTGAGGGCGCGGGAGAAAGAGATCCCAGCGAGAGATCGCAGTGAGAGACAGGCAGCACGGCACCAGGAGCAGAACACCCACCGCGTGTCGGCAGCGGCTGTGCCCCTCGAGCATCCCTGCCAGCAGAC